TCAGCAACCAGTGTTCCAGTATAGTTAGGGAGAAGTTGCCTATAACATATGATGATTGGAGGAAAGTCCCCAAGGACATCAAGGGAAATGTGTGGGGAGAGGTGAAGAGGCGATTCACGTATCCAGCGGAGGGCTATGATGAAGACAAGTGCATGGGGCATGCACTGTTTGTTGTAGGCAAAGCACTTCACAACTTTAGGTTCATGCTCAATAGGGAGTACGTACAGACAGGGAGGACACCATTTGAAGACTACAACTACATCAAGTGTGACGTCTGGGAAGAGTTTGTCATGAAACAATCAACCAAAGAAGCAAAGGCCAAGGGCGAGAAGTTCTTTGAGCTCGCAAAGAGGAACGAGCTCCACCACCACCTAGGCATGACATGGTACACCGCTAAGACGGAGAAGTGGCGGTAGGAAGAAAGGGAGGCAGCTGAGGCCGGCCAGCCGAATCCATTGCAGGGCATCGATGAGAGGTCACGTAACTACCTCTATGCCCGCAAGCTAAAAAAGCTGAAGGAGGGCAGGACCAACTACAACAAGCCAAAGGTCGAGGAGGTGGAGAAGAGTATCTTGGAGGTCTCTATGGACGAGAAGAGTGGGTTGTTCGAACCTCGCCAAGAGAGGGACATACTAACCGAGGCGCTGGGAAACCCTGAGCACCGTGGCCGTGTCCATGGGGTTTCCTCGAGGCAGAACTGGTAGGACATGGAGGCCTGGCAATCTGACGCCAATTCTTACCACATGAGGCAGAGGTATAAGGAAGGGCTCATCTAGAAAGGCTGTGATGAGGTAGTCAAGGACATGATCATGGGGAGGATACAAGATGCTTTCATGAGCACCGACCCCAAGATGGAGGACCTAAGGACACAGATGTTTCACTAGGCTAGCGTGCTGCTGCCATAGGGTCAAGCTACCAAATAAGGGCAGATGGCACCGGGGACCAGACAACTCCCTAGGTACCCGGTCGACAACATCATTGAACCAACGAGTTGCACGCTCCAGGTGCCCTTCGGCAGGGCATAGAGGAAGAAGGACGTGGCCACGGGAGTGGCACTGCCGCTCGATAGCGGCGCCATGTACAACGGCAAGCCGATCCTACCCGACTATACCTGGGTCGACGTGACGTGGACCAACAAAGATTTCGACGAGGATGAAATCGACATTCCCACTAAAGAGGGGTACAGTTTCATCGGTGCCACTATTGGCATGTGAGTGCTATGGAACAAGAGCGACATTGTCTTGGACATGCCGATGCCGGCATCACAGCCCTCACACCCGTCGTCATCTCCCCCGGGTGACCCAGGTGATGACGACGACGATGACGGCAGCGGTGATGACAACGACAATGCTGGCGGCTCAGGCACCAGTCCTCCAGGCAGTCCACCTCCTAGCAACAACAATCCACAGGGAGGCATGGGGGCAACATCGGGCGATGTGACACCACCGCCTTCAAGTGGTTTGAACCAGGGCTCAAGCCAATGTCCTTCCCTAGCGAGGAAGCCTGCAGATGATGAGGAGGCCATACCACTGAACCACAACAAGTCGAGTTGGGTGGCCTATCAAATAGTTGACGAGCACCCATACTCAACTACGTTTGAAAGGTATGGTACTAGCTAGCATAGTCAATCTATAATTCATTTCGAGATGCTATCTGCTTTTTCCACTCCCTAACATCTCAAGCCGGTCGGATGATTGCCCTGAAAACTATGAGCATGGGAAGTTCATGTTGACCTTGGGCGACCTCCTTGAAGAGAAGTGGGAGGTAAGGAGGTTCCATCTGTGGTACATGGAAGCAGCGAAAGTGGGACTGGGAAACTTCGTCATCAACATTCCGGCGGAGTACTTCCACACGCCCACGGATGGTGAAGTCATCGTAGATTTCCACGACATGCATAGACTACTGCGGCGAAAGGACCTTGATGTCGTCCAAGTCACCATATTTGCCCTATATGTTAATTATGACTTTGACACTACTGCATCGTTGTAGGTACTTTAGGAACATACTAGTAATGCCATGATGAATTTTCCTTGCAGGATGCAGGCCTATGTAAGCAAGGAATTGGGCAAGGATATTCTCTATCTCTCTCCGATGCTTCTTACAGAGAGAACCATCATGGGTTATGTTATACAAGACACTCATGAAAAGCTGGTGAACTTGAACCTGGAGGAGAGAAAGAAATACAGGGAAGATCTGGTAATCGAATATAAGTATCGGGCGGGAGTGTACATCTATGAGGCCATGAAGAAGATCGAGGGTAATGGGTGTATCATGGCTGCCCACCAGTTCGGGTAAGTCCAAAAGATACTTGGAACATATATATAGCAACTGAGATCATGACTCTCATATTTGAACATTTCAAATATGTATTGTGTGAATGATGCAGGCATGGCATCATGGGCCACTAGATTGCATTTATAATCTATCCTCAGGATGGAAAGGCCTGTATGTTTGACTCCTTGCGGGACACAAACAAAGCAGGGTACAAGCACTTTGAAAGCTATTTGAGATAGTAAGTGACGGACCTTATTCATTTACAGTTAACATACTTGTTGAAATTGTCGTTGACACTAGTGGTTTTTCGTACAGCGCTTATAAGAAGTACGTGAAAGATCCCGACTGCTATGCTCGGAGATCTGAGAAGAAGAAGATGAAGAATGGCATGAAACTGAAACTCAGGCGTGAGTTCCCAGTAAGTACCAATACTACTACAACTCTACTACTACTACTGCTGCTCTTCTCCTAATACTACACCTACTACTCTACTCTACTCTAGTACTCCTACTACTACTACTACTCCTCCTACTCTACTCACTACTACTAGTTCTACGACTCCTACCGATTGTTTATTATATATGCTCTAATGATTGTGTATTATACATCGTGCAGTGTGCCAAACAACTCTATGGCTCTGTTCTATGTGGATTCTACATTTGCGAGTATCTGAGGACGTGCAGCAAATTCAGCAACAGCTGGCGGTAGCTCAAGAAAGCACAAGACTGGTGGCGAAGGGAGAAGGTCGACCAAGACTTCAGACAAATAGTAGGAAACATATGTAAGTTTGTCACAGAGAGCGCACATGAAGGGAATACGTTCTTCGACTTGAAAAGCGAGTTAGCGCGGAATCCAAAGTTTGAGAGCATCAGAAACTGGAGCGACAAGTTACGAATCTCGGATTACGTTCTGCCAGACCTCTTTTCTGGTAAAAAATGATATGTATGAGTGACCTTAGTTGCTCATGTACGAATATTCGTGTTTGTGAAACAATGATGAAGACATCACTAATGTAATAACTTAATGTTGGTTTGTCGAACGAGAATGAAGGTAATATATGTTTGTCATCTATTTTTTGCTTTATCTGTGTTTTCATTAGCGAAATTTTAAATTCAAATTTAAATTCTAATTTGAAAAAGCATTTTTTTAAATCTGGAGATCATTAACCGAGGCGGGCAAGTAATAAAAACCGCCTCGATTAAAACCTTAACCAAGGCGGGCGTCTTTAGTCAAGCACCTCGGTTAACATATTAACCGAGGCGGACGATTTACGACAACGGCCTCGGTTAGTATGTATTAACCGAGGCGGTTAGATTATGATGCCCACCACGGTAAAGATTCCTATAGTAGTGTGAATTGTTATCAACACATGAAATCCAATAAGAGGCAACTCAGGGTTTGAATTATTGCAATGCTCAAACATCTAAGTTTGGTTCTACTTGTGCAACTAGGGTGGCTTCCTAGCATGATCACTTCACCAAGCAAGGGCTTTTAGGAAATGTTTTTGAAAGTTGTGATTTTTGGGTTTGGGATTTTTAGGGATGTTACACTGCCGCTACTTGATCCCATATCTCCACATCATTAATTAAACACTAAAAACTGTAAACCTCTAGCCCTAACCCATAAGAGAAGCCTAGGGTGTGTTTGGATAGGGGATTCAACTGGGTTGGAGTGGGCTGAACCCAACTTTTTAGCTGTTTGGTTTGGGGGGCAACAAAAGTGGGTCCAACCCGGAAAGGAATAATGCCCACAATAGATGTGGGTTCGCTCGGTACGTGAAAATGGGAGGACCACGTCGACCTAGATGGAGCAGCTCGTGGTGTGGGGGTGCGGAGCAACTCATGGTGTAAGTCAGCTGCACAGAGAGTAGCCACGGCGGCGTGGGACCGACAGAGCAGCCTCTCGGTGTCGGCGCAGCCTAGAGCAGATGCAGCGGCGCGCGTGCCTTGCAGTCTTGAAGCAAGCGGCGGGGGCTGCGCGCAGCAGCGAGCACAGATGGGTGTAAGCCTTCGCTCAACGCAAGGAAGAAGAAGGAACGGACACCGACAAATGTGACCCACCTGTCATTGTCTCATCCCATTCCTATAGATTCTTCAAACCAAACACAAAAGCAGGATGAATCTAACCCTAAGAACCAAACACGAGATAGATTCAATCCAACCCTAAAAACTGGAATAAGTCCAACACATCCCAAGTCATCCTGAAACCAAACACACGCCTAGAAGACTAGGGGCAGGTTAAGGTTATGTATGGCAGTAGAGTAGGTGGGCAGGTTCTGTATTTAATTTTGCCAGACAAAGCACTGAAATACTGCCAGCAAAAGTGTCGATTCCTTGTTTAAAATCACTAGTAGAGATTTGCCGCATTGGACTGCTGCTAGCCTGCTACGCGTTTTTCTTTCTATTTCTGCTTCCCCTACGCTATTTCTTCACGACGGCAGCATTTCATATTCCCACAGTGTAGGAGGGCAGATTCTGTACGTATTTAATTTTGCCAGACAATGCACTGAAATACAGCCAGCAAAAGTAGAAATTGAATGTTTACAATCAGTAGTAGAGATAAGCAGCATTGGACTGCTGCGACGCGTTTTTCTTTCCATTTCTGCTTCCCCTCTGCTATTTCTTCACGACGGCGGCATTTCATACTCTGACTCCTGCGCCTGCGTCGTCCTGCCAGCTCCATTCCTCGTCCACCTACACACCAATCCAAACCCTATCAGCGCCGTCATGGGTTTCCTTGCAGACCAACTTCACCATGTCGCTGCAGCAGGAAACCCTGTCCCAGTCCTCGCTGCTCCCGGCGCCGGCGTCGACAACGTCCATGGCAGGTCTGCAGGCGTCTTCAAAACACCTCGTTCTTTGTCCATGTGATTTCTGGTTCGATCTCTCCGTTTTGTCTTGAGTTTATGTGAAAATTTTCTGTTTCCGCACGATACACATCAGGCTAGAGTCGGAAGAGAGGGACTGGGCGAATCTAGTCCAGGACGCTGTTAGGGAGATCGGTGAGAAGCTGCTCGCGATCGATGCGACGGAATACATCCGCCTGAGAGCGGTCTGCAAGCCGTTGAGAAGCTCCACCGATAACGATAATCGTCCAAGCTGGGAACCGTGTTTCTTCCCCAGGAACTGGGTGATGCTTCACGAGGACGGGGATGACGACGACGAGGCTCCTGTAGAACCGGCAGCGCTCCGTCGCCGCCGCTTTGTGAACGTGCGCACAGGTGCTGCGCTCTGGATCCAGCTGCCGTCCTTTGAGGAGTATGGCGATTTCCTCGCCGTCACCGAGGGGCTCTTGCTTTTCTACTGTAAGCGCACCAAAACGGTGCGCCTGTTCAACCCCTGACCACCGCCACGGCTGTCCTCCCAAGTTTCTCCGAGGTGCCAGGCCTGGAGGAGAGCCAGAGCTCACCGCTGCCGCGGTCGTCGTCGACAGGAGGAATACACCAGGGGGACAAGCCATTATTGTTCCCAACGTGGTGCTTGTCTTGGTCTCTCGACTCTCGCCGCCCAGGCACAGCACCGTGATTCTTTGTGCCAGGCCTGGCGACTATCACTGGGGCACCGTCGATGCTGGCGTGGTCGAGGCGGTGGACGGCGGCGTGCTGCCGTTCGAGGGTGGCCTCACGCTGCAGGGGCGTTTCTACATCCCAACGTGCCACGGCGACGTGCTCAGGGTTGAGCTCCACCCACAGCCTCACCTGGTGTACGTGGCTAGGCCGCCCGGTCGTGCTCGCTGCAGATGCTGTGCTCATGACGTGACCTCCTACCTGGTGCCCTCTCTGGATGATGCAAGTGGCATAGGTGAGAACGATGGGATGTTGCTGGTGCGTGTCTTTGCCGATGACCAAACTGATGTCCGAAGGGTGCACCTTGGCAATGGGAGCTACAGCCCATTACCTCCACTTAGCAACCGTACCATCTTTCTTCCTGGGCTGACACTCCTGACGGACAGGTTCCTTCGCTGGTTGAGCAAGGAGAAGAAGGATATGTGCACCTGCATGAGCACATTGAGGATTACATTGGCGACGTCGCTTAATTAGTTTCATTTTCAGTAATTGCGGATCAGTTTTCTTTATTTACTCACAATTCACAACTCAAGTCAGGATGTTTACTTCGAATAAATTTAATTTTGGGAGCTATATGTTTGGGTGGTGTGATCATTTGTAATAGAATTATCGTGGTTTTAAATGCTGTTGGACAATTGACTTCGTTCTCTCAGTAGCCAAAATTTGTCCCTGAATGTCCAAAGGACCAATCGATCATACAAATGATGCATTCAATTCATATGTGTGAGGAGGAGAATCCACAATGCCCTGATAGTTATTTCGACTAGAAAAAAATCGTGCATATTTATCTAATATCGTTTATGATATGCTGCTCTACTACATTATATTCTATGCATGGGTATCTACAAATTTTTAGTAGAGTAAATTTCACTGGCCATCCTTAAACTTTTGTTGGGTTCATCATCCAGGTCCCGGTACTCGTGAATTGCACATTCAGCTCTGAAAATTAGTTCCAAGTTCTCATACCGGTGCTAGTACTTGTAAATTGCACACATCCTGATGGAACACGGCTAGCTACTCAAGCAAGGAAGCAGATCAATATCTTTATGTTACACATCCTGTGTCTTTGTGCTACTACTTATAACAGTCTTTACGGACCCTTGATCCTGCAGCAATTTTAAAGTGCTTACATTTGAGAAAGCAGTAGAAGCATTGTCTGCACATGGTTTGCCAGAATCTAGCTGAATGAACAAGTGTTAATATCTGGTTGCAGAACTGAACGTATAACTCCATTCTGCTTTTGCTTATAAAAAATAAAGTATGTTCATACTCTCCATATATAAGGGTTGGATGAAATCGTAATGAACCTAAACCATGTCACCAAGGATGTGAAGTTAACATTTTACCAACAATTTACAAAAATTACTGTCGAACTTGTTGCTTCAGAAACTGTCCAATTGTGAGGTAAAGAGCTTGGAAATTTTCATTGCTTCAGCAGGTACGATTTGATTGAGAGGTTTGAAGAACCTGGAAATTTCCTTGGAGAGGACTCCACTAATTTTCTGCTTCATTTGTTAATTTAATTACATAGGGATTCAGAATAATTAACTATATATTTGTTTACAGTTTATAAGTCAATTTATTGGTTAAATGATCCTGTGGGCCTGCAACAGTATGTTTCTTGAATTTTGTTGCTCTTTTATAAATATTTTTACATCAAGCTGTGCCTCCAGCAATGAGATGATTTTCCAAATGTGAACATTTCTAAGTCACAAAGAATATGCCATTATTATTATCATGAGGATTTGTGCTGTAATCTTGCTGAATATTCCGTAGGAAAATGACTTGTAAATGGAAAATGCCCCACTGATATTATGATAATCTCCATTTGCCATATAAAGCTATTTTGGGCTGATTATAGGTGAATATGTCGCATGAAATATTCTGCTAAAAATTAAGATCCTTCCTCTGCTTCAGGATAAACATACTATTGTTGCATTTACTTGATTTGGATATAGGTACCAAATTACTGTTGAGATTGTCTCTGTGCTGTGGAGTAGCTCCTCGTAATAGAGGGAGGGGGCGCTTTCTGCATCTCCGATGTATGGACCGTTTAATTCAAGAAGTTTGCACCGCGGATCTTCAATGCCCTTGCATGGTGAAGGGTAATCACAGCTCAGGTGCTCACTGTCTGTGAAGTTTGCAAATCCTGTGAGTGTTGATTTGTGGGATAAACTTGGATACCCTTTGTTCAAAACTTGAATTCGGTTGAGGTCAGACCTTGCATGTCAGTCGGAATTTGTTGCAGGTTTTACAATAATATGAGAGGTCAAATCAATGTAGAGGAGATGAAATAGGGTAGGGAGCACCAGTACAAACAGACATTTCCTCACTCAATTGACTTATTTTGGTTAAGATTATCAACAACTCTAAAGATTAATGAATTTCTTGCACCATCACGTCCTGACTGCCCTTGTGAATTGAATAAGCAGCCGTAGAACCTGGAGTGAGTCGATGGGTACACACGCTGCTTTGATAATGGAGGACCTCCATTTTACAGTTGCATTGACCTTTGAGAAAAATTTCCACCTATAAGGAGTACTATATTTGATGACTAACAGCTGCTGAATTTCATTTCTATAGCATTTTTAAACTGCAATGGTGATACAAATCTATTTATGGGGTCACAGTCAATTGCATATGTAAACATGTACTCAGGCATTTTTGTTCTATGGTCATCACATGTCTTGTTCATATTATTTAATTACTAGACCCCCTGAGTATGACCAGTCTTTTCTATCCTCAAAATTGGAGTTCGGCGTAAATATTTGTACTTCACATTGACATCACTAGAGATGGTATAGATTATCGAGTATTTAATATTAGGTATTACATAACAATCCACATCAAACTCTGATTTTCGTTTGTGTTAAATCTATCCCAGATTCCTTATGTCTTTTTCTATGGGTAAGGCTTAGTGATTTATGGCAATATATCAAAGGGGTATGGTCTGAGGGAAATCTCTGTGAGGAAAGGAGAAATGACTGTTTAGTATTTGATCTAGTAGGGCAAGAAAAGCTTGCATAACTCTGTCAAGTGCAAGTTCTGATTGGAAGGTCCTGCTGCCCTCCGGCTTGGACATGTACATCAAGAAAAATAAATAGTACGTATTCCATATATGTCTTTACTCATTTATCCTTTTTTGTTTCCAGAGTTTGGTGCTAGGTTATGGTCAGAACATTTTTGCATGCTCTGGACCTATAACTTTTGACTAATGTGCTAGGCTATGCTCAGTAGTAGTCAGGACGTTGTTGTAAGCTCAGAAGCTTTATCTTTTGACTAATGCCAATTTCTGCTGCCATATTGTCAGGTGGGATGGCATCAAGGGCTCACTCAGAATTTCCTTCTACTGCAGCAAGAAGGAACATGTAAATGTGGTGCCTCTCATACTGTGTCTTGCAAGTCTGCTAACTGATTGGCCAGCTGAAAGTACTAACATTTTTTTTAGATAATAGAACAAAGTTGCAGCCTCTACCATCCGTGGACTGTACACAGCTGATAGTTAAAAACAACAATGCCATAAGGCTTACAAGTCTAGGGAAAAGAAACAAAGTTCGTCCAAACTAGTGGGCACAACGAACTTATCAAAACACTAGGCTTCAAAACAATTCATGAAGTTCCAGCCGAACTTCGTGAAGACGGACATGATCAACGCTCCCATATTCTGCACCCCTCAAAGAACATTGGTCTCTCCTTCTCCTTGTGCAGCATGGACCACTGTCGTATCCAATACATCATCCTGAAAATTACCTGCATTGATGTATTAGGTTCAGCTTTGTTAAATACCATATCATTTCTATTTAACCAAATCGACCAACATAGCGCAACGGCTGCCAACAAAATTTGGTTTCTAAGTTTTAGGCTTAAACCATGTACAGATTGGCGAAACTAGTAGGAGGTTGAATTCCATATGTGATATGCACAGTATTCCAAACAAAGCGTGCAAGGTAGCAGTAAAAAAACAAATGTTGAATAGTTTCAACTGAACTACAAAGACAATTTTTGACACTCCCTTGCCAATTCCTCTTGGCCCCTTTTTTGAAATATCATAGGAAAATCTTAATTTTTAGTGGTATCTTTAATTTTCAAAGAGGACTTTTGTGAGGGAACACCCTCTTGGATATAAATTGAGTACATGGATCGGTCTGTGAACAAGCCTTTCTTAGTGAGATTCTTTGTCATCTGTGAGATGGACTTGTACTACTTTTGACACTAGGTCGAGCCAAGCCATCCTGTTTATATTAACCAAGCCAGGTCTAAAAGACACGTTAAGTGGTACAGACCAAAGGATGTTTGCCACAGTATCATCTTTGTGCCTCACAATTCAAAATAAGCTAGGATAGACCTCACTAAAGGTTTATCACCTAACCTCACACATCTTTCCAGAATCGTACTTGTTCCCCGTTTTGCACTATAAAGGTGCCACAGGATAAGAAACCATCTTTAGTCTTCATGAGTCCGCTCTAGAAATGTGAATCCCTTGGCCTATGTTGTACTTGGGTTAGTGGTTTGTTAGACAAGTATTTCCTTCTTAGAAGGTCTTGCCAAACCCCGTCATTTATGAGCCTAAACAGCCACTTGCTCAATAGACATCTATTTTGAAGGTCAAGGTTAAGAATTCCAATGCCACCAAAATCTTTTGGTGTGCAAAGAATATTCCACTTGACATGTCGGTATTTTTTTGTGTTCGGTCACATTGCCAGAAAAAGCGTGAACCATAATAATCCACTTTCTGAAGAACTCCCCTAGGGACTTCAAAAAAGATAACATAAACATGGCTAAGCTAGTTAGCATTGAATTAATGAGGACAAGTCGTCCCCCGATTAAAAGCAATTTACCTTTCCAACTACAAAGCTTTTTCTAGAATTTCTCCTCAATGCAAGCCAAATCTTTATTTGATGATTTTGTATGATTCGTTGGGATGCCTAGATACCGGAAGGGGAAACTTCTGAGGCGGCATCAAACAGGTGGGCATACTCCTGTTAACAATCTTTTGCTTTGCCATAGCAGAAGACTTTCACTTTTGTGAAAATTAATTTTCAGTCCTAATAGTTGCTCAAACGCACTAAGTACAAGCTTTAGCTCCCTGGCCTGCGGTATGTCATGGTCCACAAACAAAATTGTGTCATTCGCATGAATATTGCAGGATTGAAAGACCGTCATCGACTAGATGCGGAACAACTCCTCTGATTTTTCCATTGCACTTTTCTTAGCCCGGAGAATAAGAATTGCTAACTGTTGGTATTTATGAGTGCAAATTAAAATATAAGAATTATGCAAGCACACAGATCACCATTGTAGCATTTCACTGAGAGTATTCCAGGTATCGTTATTTATATTTTACCACAGGGAGGAATGATGGCGAGGGAAAGATTGACAATTTATACTTATGATGGAAATCACTAACTAAACACTTGCTCTAAATAGGGGTAAACTGAAAGGTATATATATATATATGAAAATTCAGAGACAGA